AAGCTGGCAGTTCCAATCCACCAGTGGTTTCATAGGAGAAAGATGGTCACTCTCCTCCCATGTGATCTACAATCTCAGGGACCCAATGAAGGCCAGTTGTCAATTCATTCCCATCTGACAGCAGTGAGTTTGAGTTCTGAATGGCTCTGAAAGATTCGGTGATCCACTCCCATAAAGACTGCAGTGCAGAAAACACTAGAGAGCAATTCCAATCCATCACATGAGGCCACTGCAAGAGAAAAATCAACAACACCCAACAACAACAACAATTCCTCTAATTCACACCTTTGTGTGTAACTGTGCAGAATGCACACAGTCATATGGACTGTACTTCACAGGCAAAGAGAGGATACTCCAGGATGGATATTGATGCTGCTCGATGTACATGTCTTATATAGAGGCTTAAAGCATGAAATCTTTCTCTCCCTTCTCTGTAGCCTATAGCATGCAGAGATTCTCTGCTCTACAGCTGGTTTGAATTGCTCTAAATGACCCCAATTACAATGCTAGTCCCCTCCCTGATCCTAGTCTCCACTTTTAGGCTTTTCTCAAAAACTCTTTATTCAGGTTACTGGATTTTCCTCCCCTCAGACTGCCTTTGTATCACATTCTACCTTAACTAACTCCTTGCTAGAGACCAACTGTACAAACTAAGACTTGATTCCAGAACTCATAATCTTTTTTTTTTTTTTTCAAATTTCTACCTTTTCATTTTTTCCATTCACACTGTGTTTCATCTAATCCTTCCCATACACTGGGTCTTGTAAATTTAATCACCACTGATGTATGCTCACTGTTACCTCCACTGGATCTTTCCGTACAGATTTCATTTCTTTCAACTCACAACAGTGGGTATGGTCCTACTGGAGAGAGGACCATGTGTGTCTTGGATTATGTCTTATCTACCAAAACCTATAGGTATGTCAAATACCCAAATGATGTCAGTTTGAAGACTAATTCAAGGCCTGATCAGGTCTTGGTATTTTTAGCCACTTGCTATGTATCTGAGAGCTGAACAGTGAGTAAGTATGTCAGAAGACTTGATGCCTTTGAGCTGTGGTTTTGGTCTGCCAAAAGAACAATTGTGTCTTGGAGAAAATGCAATCAGAGTGCTCCTTGGAGGCAAAGATGACAAAGCTTCGTCTGACATACTTTGGGCATGTTGCTAGGAGAGACTATTCCTTGGAGAGGGACACCATGTTTGAGAAAGCTGAAGGGATGGCAAAGGAGAGGAATATCCTCAACCAGGTGGACTGACCCAGTGACTACAGCAATAGCCTTGAGTGTGCCAGAGATTATGAGGATGGCACTGGATAGGACAGTGTTCAGATCTAACAACAAACCCAAACAGCTGGGAGCTCTGGTGGCCCAGTGGGAAGGACCTAAGCACAATCTCAAAGGTATACAGTTCAAATCCACCAGCTGCTCCATGAGAGGAGGATAAACATTTGACTTCTTGTTGTTGTTGTTGTTATGTGCCATCGAGTCACTTACAACTCATAATGACTCTATGTCCAACAGCCCGGAACCCTGCTCTATCTTGAACCAACTTCAATTATTTCTGACACACCTACCCCCATTACCCCAGTCACTAGGTCAATTCATCTCATCCAGAGCCTTCCTCTCTTGTGCTGTCCCTCCTCTCTTCCAAGCATGATGTTTATCTCCAAGGATGACAGAAGAATTGATCCCTTTGAGTTGTGGTATAGGAGAAGAGTACTGAACATACCACAGACTGCCAAGAGAATTAATAGTTCTGCCCTGGAGAGGGTGAAAACAACATGCTTGTTGGAGGCAAGGATTTTGAAACTCTGTCTCACATACTTTGGACATGTAGCCAGGAAGGACTAGTCTTTGGAAAAGGATATCATGCTTGGAAGGGTTTACAACAGTGCAGGAGATGAAGACCCCAGATAAGATGGATTGACACAATAACTGGGGTAATAAGGGTAGGTGTGTCAGAGGAAGTGAGATTGACTCAGGATAGAGTAGGGTTCAGTGGTGTAGTCAACTTGACAGCACATAATCTGGTGCAATTAACTGCTTCTAAAAACCTTCTGTAAGATCAGCTCTGGGTCCCTTACGACTTTACAGCACACAACAACATAGGCCCTTTAGAGGTGTAGTCTGTAAAGTTTTGTGCTTATAAGCCAAAATGCCATGCCTTCCAGCAGTTAGACTCTACCAGTGACACCAAGGGAGAAAGATGGCCAAAGGCCTCCTTGCGATTTACAGCCCTGGAAATCAATGGAGGGTCAGGTACGAGTCACACCCATCTCCATGGCACTGACTCAGTCATAGACAATATAATTGTTATTGTTATAGTCCTCTCTCCCCCACCCCCATCTGCCCCCAGTTCTTGAATTCTATGTCAGTGCAATAATATAGAATAGGCTCTTGTGTCTAGCATTCTTTTTCCTGTTTGGGATCCACTTTGTATAGCTCAAACAGCATGGGTTCAGGAGCCTCAGTACTGGGTATTCAAGTCCTGACTTTACCTATTGCTAGTGCTATGCTGTTTGTGAAATCCCACTTCTTTGAGTCTTCCCTGCCCCCTCCCTCCCACCGTCCTAAGTTTGGTAAAATAAAATAAAATAAAATTACAACTCCATCTATTTCCTGTGCTTTCTATTTAGGGTATGGAGGGTACATTTTCTCAAGATTATGTGGATACGATGCTTTAAAATATTAATTCATATTAATTAAAAATTTCATTTTCTCATTGCTGTCAAGTTGGAATGCATTCATAGCTGACCCTCCAGCGAGTTTCCAGAGGCTGCAAATCCCACAGGAGGAGACTGGCCAATTATCTTTCTCTCACAGAGCAGCCGGTGGATTCAAATCACTTAGCTTTGACCTGGTAGCACATCTCCTTAGTCACTAGGCCAGCTATACAAATCCTAGTTATCATGCAGGGCCTTCCAACAGAATTCATACCAGCATCCTTTTTACTTTTCCTCCTTTAAAGAAAAATATACATCCACTGAATACTGTTTCCTTCTCTCCTCCCTCTCCGTCACCTTCCCCCAGCTTGTTTTCTGCCTTTATATCTGAATCAGAGTTTATCTCTTAGCTGAGTGGGCATTAGATTGTCATCTCTCTGCAGATAAGTCTCAATCAGCTTCACACACTTCCCTGTTGTTCTAACCAGTGAGGAGTTACCATCAGATAGATAGATCCCAACTCATGGTGCTTCCCTGTGTGTCAGAAGAGGTTTCCAAGAGCTGATTTTTCAAAAGTATGTTGCCAGGCTTTTCTTTCAAAGTTCCTCTGGATAGACTCCAAAGTGCATATTTTCAGTTAACAGCCAAACATGTCTCTGTAGCACCCTGGGATGTCGTTTTCTGTTCTGCTGCTGTGAGGTGCCATAAGGTACATTCTGACTCAGACTGATCCCATGTGTAACCAGTGCCTAATCCCCATGCTGTTCTCACACTTGTTACATTTGAACCCACTGTTGCAACCACTTTGTCAATCTATTTTATTGACTATAGTTCTCTATTTCACAGATTGCCATGTCTCTAGGGATTGGTGTCTCATGATAACATTTCCAAAGTATGAGAGACCAAAGTTCAACTTTCTCATTTTTAAGGAGAATTTTCATTTTACTTCTTTTATTTGGTTGTTCTTCTAGTGGTTGTTGTTATTGTTAGGGGCCATTGTGCCCAATACAATTCAGAGAGACCCTATGAAGAGTCAACCTGAACCCTACCCCCTTTTATACCATCCTCATCAATTGTGACACACTAGGGCCCTTAGCTGCAGTGACCGTGTCAATCCATTTCATTGGGGGGGGGGATCTTCCTTTTTTGCACTGACCCTCCATCTTTCCAAGCATGATGACCTTTCCCAAGGAATAGCCATCTATTGTGGTGCTGCCAACTGTCCCAGTGTGGGGGGAGGATTACAATGACTGTGAAAGAGTATGAGATGAGGAAATGTTCCATATTGGGTCTTGGTTAGAATATAGGTCCTATAAATGCCAAAATCCATTAGGCTGATTGATACAGGAACTATGCACTGCAATGTTAGCCTATTTCACCTTGATAAAACAAAAACAAGCTATTAAACTGCAGAATCCATTAAACAAATTCAAAATCTTGAGTTGACCTTCATCTGTCTGTAAGTATTAGGGCCATAATGGATTTTGTGATTAGAGTCACATCACAGGAAGCTCTAGAGCCCATTGTCACAGCAGAATGTGGTGACAAAGCCCAGATTCAAAGCAAAGAACATAAACACTGCAGTGATTGTCCAAACTTGAATTCTGCAAAGAGTATAAATGAAACACATGCAAAATCCTGTGAAGCACACCAGCGAACAATATTACCTGATATGCTTCTAAAATGTGTAAGTAAATAGATACACTGTGTTCACTTGAAACAAGCTGCTTTTGTTGGGGATCAAAAAGAGGGGGAAAGGCCACTTATGCCTCAATTTGGTCCACATCTTAACAATTACTGCACCCAAATTCCTACACTGCAAAAGTTGTCTGGAGCTGAGTAGCAACTATCAGAGGCTCCTATGTTTTTAATCAAACAGTATTCTCCATTGCTCCCTACAGCTACACAAAGACTCCCTCTCCTACAAGGAGCCTCCAGCCTGTTGTTAAATGCCATCAAGTCAACTTCAACCCATAGCAACTCTTCCTAACTACAGATACAAACCTTGCCCTATCTTGCACCAGTCTCATGATCTCTTGACATGTTAGAGCCCACTGTTCCAGTTACCTTTTTCAGTCTCAAAGTCAGGTCAAAAAAGAACATGCAAATCTTTACAGACCAACTGAATGGTATTGGAGTGTGCACTCACGTGAGGGTAATATGAGGGTGTGGTATGTACGTTTCGTACATGTATGTTGTGTTTGAGGAGATGTACTACACATGTTCTATATCTGTTTGTTTTATATGTGCAGTGTGTGTATATGTTACATGTGGAGACTGTGTGTGTGTGCGCACACACCCGTTTGATATAAACAACTGAATGCAAATTGTACTTACTCGCAAAGGAGGATCCCATTTTCCAAGCCTGTCCGAAAATCCTTATCACCGAAGCTTCTACCAGTTACTTGCTGTAAAATAAGCAGAAAGGGAGAATATAAATATTTCTCTTTAATCAGGAAGTTCAATGATTTTTTTTCCCCTTTTAATATTAAAGAGCCTAGAAACAGCTTATGGCATTTTAAGACTGGAGAAATCCTTTCAGGTCGGAGACTTCTCTCTATGATGTAGGTTTGCCCTGGTCAGCTAAACACAAAATTAGACCATTTCTTTAAAGCTTTCTTCCTACCTATTACCTTTCAAACCATCTGGTGGCTTAGTGGGAAAGAGTTGTACTGACAATGCAAAGGCACACAGTTCTAATCCACCAACTGCTCCAGAGGAGAAGGATAGACAATCACCTCTCATGAGATTCACTGCTTCTGAAAACCCACTAGATGCTCAGCTATGAGTTGGTTCTGACTAGACAGTAAACAACAACAATATGCTTTAAAAAAGATAGCCATCAGTGTATAACTCCCAGCACTGTTTGGGATCAGACCATTGAGACTTAAAGGGTATTTTTTGGTTGATAAATAGATTCCCAAGCCTTTCTTCCTTGCTAATCATAATCTGTAAACTCCACTGAAACTCATTCAGCATCAGATTACAGCAACTCGCATGCATCCACTGACAGGTGGGTGGTGGTTGTACTTGGAAGATAAAAAGTCTACCAGTGAACCGTCAATGTGCTTCTCAATGCCTCTACTCTCCAGCCTTGGTTCAAATCATCTTTCACCCAGGTGTTTCCTTCGTTTCCTGACTGAGTTCCCTGTCTCCCCATTTGCCTCCTTTCCTATATAGCCAGCAGAGTAATCCTGAACAACTACATCAGGCCAACTTCCAATAAAAAGCAGTTGTCATGGGTCACTTCTGATTCACAGCAGTCTAATGTACCTTGTTAAAGTAGATAGGTAAATGCCATATCATTTTTAACAGTTAATTTCATGAAAACACATCACTAAGGGGTTTTTTTCCCCCCCATCTAATGTGCCTCTGAGTAGCTTTAAGCAGATAATCTTTTAGTTAGCAGGGAATAGGTTAATCATTTTCATCACATAGGACTCTAGACCACGTCACTACTCTGCTCAAAACATCTTAATAGCTCGCCACATCACTTACAGAAAAAACAACAACAACAAACAAACAAACAAACAAAAAACCCAACAAACCACCAAACAAACAAAAACATAGTTATGAACACCTATAAAAGCACTAACAACAGAAGTAGTTGTTGTTAGGTGCCATTAAGCCAACTATGATTCACCACAACCTGTGAACAACAAACCTGAACCTTATCCTGTCTTAGACCATCCTCACAATCTCTGTCACACGTAAGAGGTAAGAGCCGGTGGTAATCACTGTGGCGATTCATCTTGATCAAAGTCTTTCTATTTAGCCAACCCTCTAATTTCCCAGCATGATGTCACTCTCCAAGGACTGGTTCCTTCTGAAAGCATGCCCAGAGGAAATGAGAGAAATGTTTCCAATCTTTGCCTCTAAGGAGCAACCTCAGTGCAATTCCTTCAAGACAATGTCCTTGTTCTTTGGCAAGTCTGCATGGTTTACGATCAGGAGAGGTATGTGTCAGGGTTGGTATCCTTTCTCCACACCTACTCAATCTGTGTGTGGAGCAAATCATGCTGAAAGCTTAACTGTATGAAGAAGAATGTGGCATTAGATTTGGGGGAAGGCTCACCAACAACCTCGGTTATGCAGATGACACACAACCTTGCTTGCAGGAAGTGAAGACTTGAACCCCTTGCTGGAAATGATCAAAGACTATATCATATAGGCATGAACAATGAAAACCTAAGACACCACTCTATCCCTCCATTCAGGGAGAACGCACCAGTGTTGTTAGTCACCATCAGGTCAGTTCCTGCTTATGGAGAACTCATGTAGAACAGAATGAAATGTTAGTCAATTCTGTGCCATTCCCATGCATGATAGAATGTCTGTGTCCCTGATCACAGTCACTATGTATCCTGAGTACCTTCCAGCCTGCAGGATTCACTTTCCAGCACTATAAGCAAACCAAACTCCACATAACCAAGTTGGTTCCAACTCATAGCAACCTTCTACTGATTTGTGGGATTTCCCCCCCTTTTTCTTTATGTTCCTCATTTAAATCAGTGTGTATACAAAATTCATACACATTGTCTTTTAGTCATATACTTCCTGTTTCACACATTCCTTCATTCACCTTTTGTCTCATATGATCATTCTCATGCATTGTGTTTTATAAAATTCATCACTGTTGACCTATGCCCACCATGACCCTGACTGACGTGTCTTAATTCCTTTACACCCTCCCTCTGCTCACCAAATTCTGCCACCTTGTGACTTCTGCCTCCCTCCCTTTCAGCTTTCCTGTCCCCTCCCTTTTTCCTTTGGACTTTTATCGACATCTTACTAGTTATCCTTCTATTTTCAAAATAATGGTCTCCTGCATATGACCATTTTTCATTTGGTCATAGTCCATATAACTCCATATAATCCACAGCTAGGAATATGCCCCAAGGAAAATAGAACTGAGACACAAGCTGAGATTTGTACACTGATGTTCATAGCAGTGTTATTCACAACAACAAGAAAATGGAAATGGTTCAAACGTCCATCAACAAATGAATGGACTGAGAAACTGTGGTACAGTCACATGATGGAATATTAAGCAGCACTCAGGGGCAATGTTCTTTTTTAAAAAAAATTTTAAAAAACAAAGCAACAAACTATATAACATGAAAGAATCTAGATAGCATTATACTGAGTGAACTAACTCCATCTCAAAGGACAAATACTCTACTGAGTTTTGCAGTGATGAGAGCTCATATTTATCACACGGGATGGCTGGTGGATTTAAATTACCAGCCTTTTAGTTAGTCTCTTAATACATCATGCTAAAGTGATTCATAAAGTTTTCACTAATCTTTATAAGTAGATTGCCGGGCCTTTCTTCCTACTGTGCCTTAAACTAGAAGCTCTGATGAAATCTGTTCACCAGCAGTGGCAATGCTGATAGCTGAATACTGGCTTAACTTCCAGTATGTCAGCAACACGCAAGCCACCAGACTATGGCAAACTGGTAATTGTTACAAATCGCAGCTATTATGTCACTAAATACACCCTGTGTGCCTTTCAGAAAAGTCTAGGTGGTCTAGGTAAATGTATAGAAAAGTCCAGGTAGGTAGCAGATTTTCCCGGCTTTATTTCTTATGTGAGTTGTCATGAATTGAACAACTACATGGCAACTAACAACAACAGTAACAACATGACTTCCTACGTTCACTTTAACTACAAATAAACTCTCTGTAGGAGGAAGGTGAAAGGATGTGTTGTTAAGTGTCAGATTAAAATGGTCAATGAAGATAATGTACCAAGACCTTAATGGTTTTAAAGGTAAAGAAAAGCCTTCCTCTGTCTTAGCAATTAAACCAAAAGCAGAAGCAAGAGGACACCCTGACATGTCATCACAGTCTCTTTTGAAAGTAATTTTTGAGGAAACTCATCTGCTTCCGATTTCCTTCTCATAGAGTTAAAAGATAATTATTTTTCTGAATGTATCCATGTCAGTGGCACTGCTTTCAGCTATTTCAATAATTGTACATAGAGCTCTTTAAACAACCAGACTACTAAATAAAACCACACAACTTTATGGCAACATTTTTACAATGTGTTTATAATGCAACACATTGTATATTACAATGCTACATGGCTGCTAATTACTTTGTTGCCATCGTTGTTAGTAATTACCATGAACAGTTATAAGGCTGCCAAGAATCATTCTTTCTCAGTCTGAACATCATCATTTGTGTAAATTGAATTCCAGAAATATTTGCTTGATCTTCAGTTGTTTTTGGAAAGCAACATGGTAGACAAATTAAAGCACCAACAAAGAACACAGACTATTTGTGCTAGATTACTAACCTCAAGGTTGGAGGCTCAAACCCATGCAGGAATATCATGAAAAGCTTGGCAACCTGCTTCCATAAAGATTATATATAACCAAGAAATCTCAATGGAGCAATTCCACTCTATAATTAATGAGGTTACCATGTGTTGTAAAACAACAACAACAAAAAATACAGTAATGAATTTGTTGTGTTTTAAGAAACTGGAAGTAAAAAAGAAAAATATTTAAATTATATTAATGTACTGATCAATTAAAATGACCAAGGAGTTCTGCTGGTTGAGCTGAAAGGAACTGTGTTGCCAATGTAAAGGTTTGTGGCTTGAATTCATCAGTTACTCCATAGGAGAAAGATGGGAAATCTCCTCCCATACAATGTACTGCCTGAAAACCCGCAGGCATTTTCAGACCCCTAGTCAGCTATGAGTCAGTTCTGCTCTCAAGGTACAAAACAATATTATAATGACCTTAAGAGGTTGATAACTTAAGGGAGCTCTGGTGGCCTAGTGGCAAGACGCTGCACTGCAATCCCAGAGGTATGTGGTTCAAATCCACCAGATGCTCTGCTAGAGAAGGAGGGGGCAATCTCCTCCTGTACCAGTCAGATCTGATTTGACGGTACACGTAAAAATAATACAATAAAAATAAAAAAGAGGTTGATAACATATAACTTATTGATGTATTTATTATAATGATGAAATACCAGCTCTGATCTGATCTTAAGAGGATATTCTATTGACTGGCAAAATGGTTCCTGAATTTGTTATTGTTGATTGCCTTTGAGTTAAGCATGACTCATAATGACCCTATGAACAAAAGGCCTGAAGCCCCTCTACAACTATCGACATTTATCAAAGTTCATAGAGTTTCTGGAGGCATGTTATTTAAGAAGCAGATGCCACTCCATTTCCAATTCCTGAATTTAAGCAACTAAAAAGAAAATTAATAAATTTCAACTTCAATTCAAAAAGACCATAATATTTTCCTCTAAATTGCTACTTAAAAACAGGTATACTTTTTAGAATTGTGTGGTTTCCCCCTGGAAATAATAAGTGCAAATAATACTTCTCAATCTACTGAAGATTCTTTACAGCCCATTATGTTCACTTTTCTTCTCATCAA